AAAATAATTTCAAAAATTCTTTGCTTGAGGCTTAAACACATTTTACCTCGGCTAGTCTCTCAAACACAATCGGCATTCGTTTCTGGGAGACTTATTACAGACAACATCTTATTAGCTCAGGAAATGTTTCATGGCTTACGGACTAATAAAATGTGTAGAACGGATTTCCTGGCAATTAAGACAGACATGAGCAAAGCGTATGATAGGATAGAATGGGACTTTTTAGAGGCAATTATGACACGGTTGGGATTCAATTCTAATTGGGTTTCTTGGATCATGTGGAGTGTTAGTTCGGTCTCGTATCAGGTTTTATTGAATGGGGAACCAAGAGGAAATATCATTCCCAGTAGAGGTTTACGGCAAGGTGATCCCTTATCGCCTTATTTGTTTATTTTATGTACGGAGGTACTGATTGCAAATATTAAAAAGGCGGAAAGGGAGAAGAAGCTGACAGGAATTAAGATAGCAAAAAGAAGCCCAGCAATTTCACATCTGCTTTTTGCGGATGATAGTCTCTTTTTCTGTAAAGCGGATTCAGAGCAATGCAAAACGGTGATGGATATTATTGGGAATTATGGTAAAGCTTCAGGGCAAGAGATAAATCTCAGTAAATCATCGGTTATGTTTGGTAAGCGCGTAGCAAACCAAAAAAGAGATCAACTTAAAAACACCCTTGGAATCAGTAAGGAGGGTGGCATGGGTACCTATTTGGGTATACCAGAGAGCTTAGGAGGCTCAAAAAGTAAAATCTTTAATTATGTCCGGGAAAGACTTAATGAATGGATTAATGGCTGGTCAGCTAAATTTCTGTCGAAAGGTGGGAAAGAAACAATGATCAAATCAGTGGCTTTGGCACTACCAACCTATGTTATGTCTTGTTTTAAACTACCTCAAGAGTTAACTTCTAAGTTAACAAGTGCTATTTCTAATTATTGGTGGAGTTCCAATGGGAGAGATCGTGGGATCCACTGGATAGCATGGGAAAAAATGTGTAAGGATAAAGAAGAAGGAGGTTTAGGCTTTCATTCCCTAGACATTTTTAATGATGCCATGTTGGCTAAACAATATTGGCGTTTAATCCAATATGGACGATAGCGTAGAGCTCTGTACCGATGCTATTC